TTCTTAAGAAATCTGTTGTATCAGTGTTTATTATGTTTTGCTTTTTTGTTAAACAGTAATTTTCTGCATTTCTTTCGAATAGGTTATTTTTTAGTTGGGTTCCTCTATGTATTACTTATTTTTGAGTGAAAAAAGGGAGTTCTGCAATCAATACAGCAAAAATGATTATTTTTCACATCTTAAATTTGGTCTATTTCTAGTTTCACAGTTCTTTATTTATATATGACTTGATCAAGACAAGATTGAGCACTAATTTTCAAACATTTCTTTTCTGGAATTTTCATGCCGTTCCTTCCACAGAATAGCAGTGCAGCTGCTCGCTCTCTTCCATTTCACATCTTTTTTTTAAACGTTAGAAAAAGTCTTACCTGTTTCGATATTTTCTACAAAAATTTATTTTTTATTATCTGTTTATTCTGATTTTCCATAGAAATGTTTAATATATTTCTCTTCATAGTATTTATAATCCTCAAATTGCTATTAGTGTTTTTGCAGTTGGCTAATGCGGGCGTAATGTCCGGAGTGCGGGTTGGCAGTCCGCAGCGAGCTGACTCGATCGCATCACGAGCGGTGGAAGCCGGCAGCGCAGGCGGAGAGCTGTGCGTTGTCTGCGGTGACAAGGCCAGTGGACGGCATTATGGAGCCGTGTCGTGTGAGGGCTGTAAGGGCTTCTTCAAACGATCCATTAGGAAACAGGTCAGTTACGGCCTCAATTTGCATTGTGGCGTTACCCGGTTGAAGGCGATTATCGCCAAATAGTCATTGCTTCGTATTCGAAGTGCTAATTCGAAGAAATTGCCCTTGAGATTGTTACTCTGACAACGCAAAGGTCGCCTCAGGGCGTAATATCTTCGATGAAGCAAATGAGCTTCGCTTCTTTATCGCTCGTACTTCCCCGTCTGGAAGATTGTACTGAGGAGGATTTTGGATGAAGAAGATGTGTTTATAATGAGGTCGTGAAATTTCAGATCGGGTACATGTGTCGAGGCGCCAAGGACTGTCCGGTCACCAAATTTCATCGTAATCGATGCCAGTACTGTCGATTGAAGAAATGCCTGTCGATGGGCATGCGCAGTGAGTGTAAGTACTGTAATTTCCTTCACTGCGACGCTTTCGGGAGGTAAATCAGAAAGAAAGACGCTGATGCTGTTTTTTATTGTCTCGTGGCATAATTCAGTGAGGTGCTGCAAGCTCTTGGGATTTTATGATTTCCCAGATAAGTTTAGTAATTCTTGTAGTGAAAAGATTAGGAGAGTCTCTCATCTCTAAAGCTGCGTCATCCTAGCAGACTGTAAATAACTCGTCATCGCGCCGCTTTACTCTCGTAAATCCTCCTCACGTCTATATGCGGGGGGTAAACCGTATCGCCCGCGGGCCTCACTGCGGTGACTATGGTAACCTTCGGCTCAGTTTCGGTAGAGCAAAACAGAGCGGATCGATTTCTACGACAGCCATCTATAGCTATTCTAATTAGCAGTCTGCATGTCACGAATAACAATTATCGCTCCACCCTGCCACGCAATGCAATGCACACAGAGAGAGACGGCCGGGCCCCCGCATGTGTGCCCCGCAATAGCATAAATCTGAGCAGGGTCAACAGCCCTTAGGCACCGCGCCGAGTCGATACTTGCAAGTGCTCTAATCAGTTAGTCGATTTGTTGAGATCTTTGTGTCCATTTCAGCAGTACAAGCTGAGCGACGTCCGGTCCAACAGGT